GGGAGCATGGCGTTCTGGGTATTTAGACGAAGAATTGTTACCTAGGAATCCATTTGCTGACTATTTGTTTTGCATATACAGATATACTCCGAGTTCCGGCTGGCCAAGTACCCCGACGTGACGCCGCTCATCACGGACTACGCACAGGGCACCGACCCAGTGAATTCGGTTGGGCCCTACTGGGAGCAGCCCGGGCGCAACAGGCTCGTCAACCACCTCCTGGACATCCCGCCCGCGACCGAGGCCATGCCCGATAAGTTCTACGATTGGCAGCGGGTCTTCTTCACAGGCGCGTCCCGTCCCCTCCGCTCCTCTGTGTATAATATACTAATTATGAATTCGAAACACAGGCAACCACTACCCGCACCTCCCCTCGCCGCTCCCTGTCATCCTGCGCAAGACAATGACCTGGCAGAACCTGCAGGAGTACCTCCGCACGTGGTCCTCGCTGCACACATACCACGAGAAGTTCCCGGAGGACCGTGACCGTCTGGAAGGCGATATCTGCGCGCGGTTCTGGACGAAAATGAAGGAGAAGGCCGGGGAGGCGGAGGGGCGCGCGTTGAGCGCAGAGGATAAGGTCGAGCTAGAGTGGCCGTTGGCGTTGTGCTTGGTCAAACGGGCGTAGATAGGATAGGTGGAATTAGCGAAATAGCTAGGTAAGTCTTCGATAGTCCAGTGCACTTGTACGTCTTGCAGCAGTCGGTTCTAAGCATCATGAGGAGATACAAGGGGCCAATGCACACCCATCAGTCAGCGACGGTGCACGGTCTCTGGATCTTCCCCGTTCGCCTCTACCCATATTTCCTCCAGCTACTTGTTCCTGTCAATCACTTCAGTGTATATATCATTGGGTACCCATCCCTCGTCGGGGCATCCAATGAGTTCATCCACACCAGCTTTGACATCCTGCGCAGCTTCCCAATCTAACGCTTCCTTGTGATACACTCTCATCTCCTCTTCGGAAAAGGTGATTGAACATGGCACGTCAGAGCCAACGACTTCGGACCAGCGGGCATATATGCGCAGGAGACATTCTCGTAATTTCATGAATCCGTGAGGCCAGACACTGGCTGAAATTTTGACAGGATAGAAGGACAGCTCTCTCGTAGGGAAAGACAGAGCGCGATAATACTAGGGGTTCAAACGGGCGCCGCACTGCTCATATAGCTTGTGGCGGTTTACTCGGACAATGTCATCTTTCACAGCCATCTGCGCACCTTCATCAAGGCTATCGAAGTCGTCCGGCAGTGCGAGGAATATTCCCAGGTGGCACGGGGGTAGCACCCCCATAGCGAAACGTATTCGGGACGTACGCTTGGAGATAGAATGGAAGCAGCGCAGTGTGTTGCCAGTCAATGACAGACGTTATGACGACCTCTCCGCGGTGGAGGGACTCTTCAGATAAAAAGACATTGCTGAGGTGGACGTCATGTGACCAGAGGAGTGGCCTTGTAAGGTCCGGGTCACGGGGAACAAGATATAGAACTACAGCCATATATTGATCCAGAAGGGAGAGGTGGATATGCGGCTTCAACAGGTGCTCAGGAGAGTCGAATATGCCGGCTTCGCTGACCGGGCTTGCATATTTCTCTATCCACTATCGCTCACAGGTCGCTATGGCAAGAACATAGGATAACGGATTATCCCCTGTAGATGATGCATAAGGCCGACGTATCAGAGGAAGCAAAATAAGGACGTACAAGGTCCGTGGTCTACATCCGTGCTCGATCGATCGATGGACCAGAAGTTCCTGGAGAAGCGAGGACCCTCGACAAAGTCGGCGTCACGCTTGCCTCCAACGAAAAGACCTTGACCTTGAGAGTGCTTTAAGGACGCCCTGCGATAGAGACTACCGTATCCCCCAGATATAGGGGCCATGAGGAACTTCTCCAGTATTGCCCACTTCGTTACCATTTGCTGCTGCTGCCTCTTAGACAGTTGTGGTCACACAATAGAAGCCTCTACACCGGGAGCCTTTTCCATGAGTATGAATTCTGCTTCCACAGGAGTTTCAGCGCGTCGTGATGACCAGGCAAGAATGGCCGGTGTGGCAACCGCCATGCGATTACGCACGAAGTCCATCGTCGCGACTTCGCTAGCGGTTACAAGATGCGGCAAGCCTGCATGTGGCATCCTGATACGCACAATGGCCTCCTTGGAATTGTCGAGAGACAGAAGGAATACTTTATTATAGGAACCCTCGGCCAGCTTCATCATACGAATGACAGCTCCTCCACGTTGAATCTGCAATATCGAGCGGAGAGTTCAGTCTTTTCGTTGTGTAACCACCTGCCGGAGGTGTAGCGATAGAAGTCTTCATAATGACTTGAGTATACAGCGTCGTTGAAAGTGTCCTCTAGCGGAGCGACCGGTGACGCACACAAGCCCCAGCATACTTCAAGTTATTTCGAATGGTATGAATGCTAGAGCCGGACGCCTCTCCGTTGAATCGTGCTGAAGCCTAGCTGGAGATTGGAAGCGGCAGCTAGTAACGAGCGGAATGGTCATATGCCAGTTATTCCGGGTTTGTGGGTCCCATTGCGGTCACGGTGACAAGACATCGCTATTAAGTACTCAAAACATTGCATCTGAGAGGAAAGACTGACCATCAGCTACTAGGGAGGCAAGGCGTCAGAGCCTCGTACGAAGAGTAATACACTACGGTCTACCGCAACTTGTCTGCTCCAGGAGTACTTGTCATGATCGATAGCTCGGACTCCCGAGATGCAGCCTCCGAGTCGGCCCGGCCAGTGGCCACAGGGAGGCTACCTTGCTTCCGATTGGCCACCGTCATCCTGCGGACCGATTCGGAAGCGTCATTCCCTTTCTTGGTTAAAGAGGCATCGTGTTTAAGCCTTAAGCAACCTTTAGATCGCCCCGTAAACAAGAAGCTTGCTCGGGCCCGAGCCGGCATACCAGCAGCTGGAGCAGACTCTGTCATTCTCCCTGTACCCCTATCCCAAATAGAAAAGTGTATGAATAAATAATCTGTACAGTATACGGTGTACTGGCCAGCTGAGGAAAATGTCCAGCAGCTACAGACTCGTCGAGTCCTGTCTCCTAGGTGAATGGCTTGAAGTCGGCATTCGAAAATTCCGAAACAGCTTCCACTACTAATGGACGTTAACTGCCATGCTCCTCTAGAATAGTACATTTGAAAATGGACAACTGGACTACCGTAGACACCTGACTGTCATAGTGATCAAGGCCGAACCCCGCGAACCCTTTCACTGCCTCTTGGCGGATGTTAAGAATCATCTCGCTCGCCAAGACGGAGGGGATAGAGAACATCCAAGCGATTGGCATGCTCGCAGCAAGGGGCGGGGACAGGTATATGCCCAAAGAGCCAACAGCGAAAATGATGACAACGCTTTCACCAAGTCAGATGCTTGACCACCACTCATACACTTCCCAGAGCGAATGGACTCACCAGATGTAATACCACAAAGAGTCTCTTGTCACGAGAAACATGAGCAGGCCACCGTAACCCTCGTAAGTACGGATACCTATTCTGGATCGCATCTTGAGATGTTGACTTCTCCCGTAGACAAAGAAAAGCAGCATAATAACGTCGAACACAAGAGTGGGCATACTGCCCAGAGGTTGTGCGGATATATGTCACACCCCATCACTGATATAAATTCTGCAAAGACTCACAAGCAAGTGTGAAGGCCATATACGTTCCGCGGGCCAGCTACTCCAGGTACAGCAAAGGGCACTATAGACAGATACACGGACCACGCCGTGGTACCTGCGAATAGACTGGTGATAACCATGAACATGTCACGTCCTGCACGCAAGCGAGAATATTAATCATCAGGAAAACCCTCCCAAGCTAATTAGACATAATTTAGACAAAATTATGCATGATGACAAAAATCTTTGTTATATGTATAATGGCTGCATAATCCAGAATGACCAACAGCTAATCTACATGTCCCAGTTTCAAAAAAGTAATATACAGTTGTTAGCAACTCTAGGACATGGTCTTGCGTTAATATGTTTGGGCAGTTCCTTGAGACTGCCTCCGTGTGCGATCTCTGCAGTCATTGCTGCAGGGCAAGTATATGAAGTAATTTGATGATGAATAGTCACGTACCCTGCATAGCATCCATCCCACCGCATAGTTTCGGTGTTCGAGCTACTAATAGTAAGGAATGAAAGGAGGAAACCCACAGGTGCCACGACGCGTATCGAACCCGTGCGAACCCACATTGATGGTGCGGGTACGCGGGTACCTGCAGGTTTCGGTTTCGAGGGCACATTAAACAACGCATCCTCGATACCCATCAGGTCACAGGTACGGCGAAACATGACCCGTACCCATGCCAGGATAAGGAGGTGACCCGTGCCATTCATGCAAGCATAGTCTTCGGGTTCACTGAGATGCGGTTGTTCTTTGTATCAGCGAGTCTTCACCTGCTTGATATCAGCCAAGTAACAGGGAGCCGACAGACACCTGCGAACGGACCGGAACGGTTACCAGCTGAGCTCCAGGAAGACTCGGACGGACTTAGCACTGTCTCCCCAGAGTC